AAAGCAAAGCCATTATTTACAACACTGCCACAAAGAAAGAAAAAATGTTTTCCCGTAATCACCTGTTCAGAGCTTGCATATTGTACATAATATTAGCATTGGGGAAAATTTTAAACAAAGTAGTAGAGTAATTTCTAACTAGTTTAGAGCAGTTGTTTAATTGTTTCATATATGTAAAAACAAGAGATTGGCACTAACATCTTTGTAATTTTTTCATTAACACAAAAATACTGCATTAAAAACAATGGTGTGGAAACGCACAAAGGCATTTCAGTTAAGGCTTCTACAGATATTGCATGTTCTGTAATTAAACCTGTATTTTGTAAACTTGTTCTAAAACTTTCCAAGTAGCTAAACAAAAAAGTTCAGTTAAACTCATATTCCATTGTGAGGCTTATTGGAATGAAAAGTACTTTGTAAAACTGATAAATTAGCCATCAAATTGTTTATTAAGTGTGATTTTAAGTGGCAACCTCAAACCTCATTAATTTAAATATGCATATACTCTGACCCTCCCAAAAAGATACACTGGAAAGGCAGGCCTGGTTTGAAATACTGATCCTATTAAGTTCATTAACTTAATCCCTGCTCAACCATCTAAACAAACTACTGTATTTCACAATGAGAACGAAACTGGCTCTTGGCAAGCATCGCTTTGACCAAGGGATACTTGGAAGGCCAATTCCTAGTAATAATACCAGAAATCAAGCAATGATGTTACTGAAGTTTTTCCTGTACTGATTTGATGCCTTAGCACGATTTAGCAAAATCATACTTCTTATCATGCCAAAATGATAGAAATGTCAAGCTGCAAAGAAAAGGTGTTAGTAATCTCATCTTCAGGAGCTCAACAGTTCTGTAAGTTAAACACACCCCATCTGCAGAAAGTGTGGTGGCAACCTACATGGAAACACTCATCCCCCATCTCCTACAGCCAAATCATGACAAGAACCTCCAGTGCAACACTGAAGGAGAGCGGGCATCCTGAATCTCTCCATGTTAATGTACAGTGCAGCGGCAGCCGTAATTTAGCTCTGCAGTTTTGCAAAAATACATACACAAGAGCCATAACAATTTACAAAAAAGGTAAACAGCTCCTTCCCACAACGAAGTGAATGCCCCAGAATGCAGCCAACAGCTGAGGAACAACAAACAAACAACAAAAACAAGAAACATTCTTTGGGGGGAAATCAATCTCCATCAAAATAGGTAGAAGTAGGAACACTTCTAACATCTGTGAAATCCAAGTTTCTTTAGAAAAAGCTGTGAATAACACTATTGCTCTTCCCATACAAGATAAGGAGAAATTGGAACACTAATCCCGTGAATGGCTTTTAATAGTTATGCATCCTGACTGTTGAGAAATTACAGGATGTACATATATCCTGTTGGCAACCCAAAGATACCCTGCTTGATTAAAAGATGTATTTAGGTATTCATTAGCTGACCAAACTGTTGCAACATTAAAACTTCTCTTTCTTGTATCTACATCGACTTGAAAGAACTTGTTATCATCAAGATCTTTGTCAAGAGAACTAAATGAAGAAAAATAAAGTGTCCTCTTTTAAGGAATTATTGAACAAAATCCCTGACAATTCAATCCCTTCTTCTAGCAGATACTTTTTATGACAACTAAACCTGGATTGTTTTATGCTTACAAACTTTGTGGGGTTTATGTTTCCTAACTCTGCTTTGCTCTAACCTTCCTTAGACTACTTTCTTCATGAGATTTGTTTTAATCTCTACAGAATATTTAGCCAAATCAGGTAAACCAAGTGCTATCAGCATTACTAACAAAAGCAGGTTGTTGAAGACTGTATGGCAGTCCAAAAAGCACTGAATATCTCATCTTCTGCATCCACCTAGTTTCTTTGGCTATATAGTTAGCAATATTTACAAAATCACCTTGACTTTATGCACTAAAATAAAAAGCAGAAGTATAAAAGTTTTCAATCACATTTGGAAATTGTAGCATACATAAAAAGATCAAAATCAAAAATATACAATATAAAAATACATTTCTTTATGAAAGTTATAATACATGGCTATAATACACAACATGTTGAGCTGTCAGTCACAGCTACAAGACTGCAGATGCTTGTTCCACACTACGGCTGGACTCTGGGTATGGTATCTCCCCGGGGAAATTCCTCGATTTCAGCATGAAACATCAGTTCTAAAAAAATAAAAGAAGTGTTTTCTTTTAAAAGTTTCACCTGAATACAATGTCATTATTCCTGAAAAGTGCACTGGCATTCCCCCAGGCCTCCTTCTTTTCTTCCCAATCATAGTATCAACAACTCAGCAATGGCAAGGGCCAGCAATGTCTTCAGAAAACTATTGTTGCCCCCCAAGAATTAACAGAATTAGCGATGATGTTAGCAGCTGATCATAGCAGTATCATCCTGCATTCAACCTGAACACTGAAACATAATTCTGAAGTAGATTGAGAATTGTTAGAGTGTCAGACGCAAAAAGGAAGATTTCTCTTTAGACACCAGTTCATTTATGGATATATCTGCTCTATGTATCACAATGTAAGTCGGCAACACTAGAACCTGGGACAGAAAGAATTATGAATGATATTGCTCACAGCTAGCTGCCACCATGGCAGCTCAGGCACAGGAGACAGCCTCAAGTCAGCAGTGAAGAGCTCCTTGTGGAGAAATTTGGCTAAGCACATTAAGCAGCTGATAAGGTAGCCTTTGTGGAGCTCTGTGCTGCTGAGGGTAGAGCTTCTCGCATCAGGGTTCCCTTTATGTATCTATACTGCACCCTCAGCATAGGTGTACTTTGTCTTGCTAACAGCACATTCAGCATATGGACCAGACTCTGTTTGCCAACAACTTGCCAACATGGTAAAAGTTATGCAATCTGTACATGCAACAATGTGGTTCATCCACTCAAGCCTGAGATTCACCTGCTTTTGCTACCTCATGCTGAGCAGACTGAACTTTCTTTTACTATTTGGGATGATTCCTAACAGAATTTCTCTCTTGAAGTTTCTGAAGCAGGTCTTACAATCTTAGTAGGCACATGTAAGTATCAAAAAAAGCTCACCAAAACCTGAGTTACATCCTGCCACTGGTTTCCTTGATAAGTCTTTATCTTTTAAAGAATGGGTTTTAAATACATTTTAAGTATCTATTACAAATTTTACTGTCAAAGATTGTAAAGGCTGCCACACAGGGTGTTGGGGTTTTTTTAACATTAGAAGTGAGTTATTAGAAATAAGCGGAGTAACTGGGGCCAGCTGAAATACAGAAATCTGTACATTAAAATTCTAAAGTAATCTGAAGAAGCATGTTGAATCTTCTTCAGCCTTCCAAACACAAATCTGTGCTTCAGCTCATGACATTCTTTGGATACCTGTTGACTTGTAAGTTGAAACTTACGATTTTTGTGTACAGCATAGCTTCCAAGTCACATGCTGCATGCACTTCATAGGAAAGCTGAGTTAAGTTACATCTTTCAGATCCCAGTTGGAACAACAAAAGGAAGAAGGCCTAGCCTCTAGCAAAGCTCCTTCTAAGAAAAGGGGATGACTTGTCCTCTCATCCAGCCTGGACTAACACAGGCAGTCCTCATTTCATGTCCTGTTCTGCAAGCACAAACCTGACTTTTCGAAGTTCAGGAGTTCCCAAAACTACTACAGAGTTCTATTAAAAATAATACTGGATTCAAAACACATTCAGCATTTGCAAAAGGAACATAATAATATTAGGGAATTTTCTAAAACACAAGCAGAAAAAATATATTTCAAATATTCAAAATACCGTTAAAGTAAAAATTATTTTTCTCTTCAGTGAAGAGACACATGCTCTTTCATGTTTCAAAATTCATGTTCCTTCAGCCAGGACAAACAAGGCTTTTCTTTCCTTTTTGAATTACTGATTTTTCTTTGTAAAACCAAACATAGACACCAGCATTCTAAAAAGCACTTGCTTTGGAAAGTTGCTAGGAGATGCTTATTTTTGTTCAGCCACAAAATTTCTCAGGACTAGTCCTGAACACCAAACACAGAGCACAGCAATAAAAGCCTGAACAAACAACATTTGCCTATTAATGTTTCCTACCTTCACTGTGGTCTAGCTCTGGTCGGTAAGACAAGAAGATCCAACTTGTCCCAACTAGAATAGACACTACAAGATTCACCACAACCCACGGCTGAACAATTTCTTCCTCCGTACCTGCCGTCCTGGGAAAAACACATCAACCCATCAGTCAGAGGTTCGCTGGTACATACAGGTTACAATAATAATTTCAACAGAGTATCATAAAAATAAGTTTCCTAAGCCAGATGTGAAAACAGAACTACTTGTACCATCTTGATGGTCTGGCATTGCTAAGGCCTGATAAAGAGAGTGACTACCAAAGACAGCAACTCAGCTAAGAAACCGCCATTATCTCACAGACAATGTCCACTTGCAGATTTCAACAGCAAATGCCTTTTCTTGGCCAAGAGACAGAAACTAAAAATCAGAATGCATGGTCAGATTTTACTGTGGTGAAAGACACTGCACAATGTTCTCAGTCGATCTTATTTTTAAGCACTTTCTCATAAGGCAGCAAGTGAAGTGAACAGCAAATCAGTAAAGTGTCTCTGGAAGGCAGTGCCAGGACTTGTGTACAGATGCTGTGGGCTGGATGAGATAGGGTTTTAAAAAGGTTATGATTTAAGTTAGCTGACACTTTTCTTACTGTCATAACAGCAGCAGGTTGTGGTTTTATTACTAGAATCTAAGCTTTTCAATAAAAAAACTCAACAAACATTTATAGAAGCCCTAAAAGAAAAAAGAAAAAAATATCCAACTGCCCAAACCAGCAAATTTTCATGTAAATTCTTTTGTTCTACTTCTCCTGATCTATTTTAAAACTAGTGTTTAACCCCATTAAGTTTCTGCTTCTTACAGTAACAGTTCTGGAGATCCCCTAGCATGAAACAATGCTTCATATTTAATGCCAGCTGTGTCTGCTAAGCCCTTGCATCCTGTGGCAGACATACCACTTCTTTGTAGTACCATGACATTAATTTCTTGGACAGATTAGACCATCTCCTTCAAAAACAGTATTGACTTTCTACAGAATGTCCTGCCCTTGAACACAAAAGGGTTACCTCAGTAGAGTCCCATTTCTCCAGCAAAAGTGATTCTTGAGGTTCCTGCCAGATGACATTTTCAGCATCATTCCAACAGGCTCTTGTTTGAGGTATAGTGGATTTGCGACCAACATGACCAAACCCATCCTTGAGTTCTCATCTTTCAGTAAAATCATCAAAGATTTGGGACAAGCTCGGACAAAGGCAGGTTTAGTAATGAAATCCTTCATTAATACTTTCTTATGTATGTTGTATAGCCTTTTCAATTCAGCTGTTTGACTAAGGTTCCTAAGTGGGCTACGTTAAAATTCGCAGAAGTGATAATTCTTAAGTTTCCTACCAGATGCTGCCATTTTCTGAAGGTGGTGTGTAGAGATTAATTCTGTCACACGTCATCTGCTGGCTTAAGGATAAGATAAGAGCAGCAAAGTACACTGGAAGAAATGGAATTAGTATTGTCAGATATAAACCCCCAAAATGCTGTCTCATCATGACATAACGATTGTCACTACATTTTCTTTCCTTTCACTTCACTTCCTCCAACGATAGTCTCCTTTACATCATTCTCTCTTCTTCAATGTTCCCCTGACCCATCAAAATCTGGTTTCTGCATTTTTGCAATCCATCAGCTATATCAGAGGTAGCATCTTGTGATTCTGTTTTTTGCTAGGTCTGTGTTCTGTATTCAGAATTAGGAAAAGAACTCTTTCACTAACAGCCCCACTAATGCTACTATTGCAAATGCTTTAAAAAAATATGTAGCAAAGTGTTCATAGCCTTTGAATGCTATTTTCAATTACTGAGCAAGTCACTTATTTTAAATCAGAAAATAACCAAGAAGGAAGACGTCACTGAAAACAGTAAGTTTTTTCCATTTACCATCGTTTCTGGATAACTTCCTATCTGCTCCAAAATACTTACAGAAAGAGGCTACTGCTGCTGGGTCTAGGGTAAGAAAGCTCCTCAGTGCAACTGATGCTTTTGCCAAATCAATCCTGGTAACAAAAACATGAGTCATTAACACAACCCAGTAAGATAATAATCCTGTTTCCCTAACAGTATTCTGTTGTTCTTTTTGCAAGATACCTTTTTCTGCCTCTGTTACAATGCCTTAATATACAACTATATCCCACACACATGGCAATGGTCCTCATTATGCCAAATCCAAGAAAGATTGAAACTAAGGAGGCTGTTCCATGAGGTTTGTAGCTTTCATACTGCAGTCCTTTCTAGAACATGGCAAAAATGGAGAGATCTGTCCCCTCTCTAATCCTTACTATTCATTTCAGCATCCACACCACCAACTGAGTTAGGCTAACATAGTGTAAGCTCACATAGCTTACACTAGTACAGAAGCAATTCAGAGTAACTCAGGCTTCCTCCCTGCCCTCCACTCCATGAAAAAAAGTCATAGTTTCGTCCATAGCACTGACTCCTCCCCTGGCTTATCACATTACTAAAAGAAACACCTATAACATCTATTATTCTACTCTGTTTATGGTCTTTTTTGCTGCTTTTTCTGTTCATTCCCACTCTTAAGCTGTAACGCAGAAACCCCAGCTAAGCCAGGAAAACTGCTTATACAGCTATGTTGCAAACCTGACTGGGGAATGGATTCACATGGAAAGTAACCTGATAAAAACATTAGTTGTTCTCCACCACTCTCCCCCACAAAAAAAAACCCCACAAGTCAGCTGTTCTATCTGGTTCATCTCATGATCACACACAAACAGCACCAGCACACTGAAGCAAGGCTGCAGGCAATGGACAGAAATGAGTAACAAAGGTCTGAATGCACAAGTACACCCTTAATCTGCATAGCCAGCCATGTGTAAAATCATGTTTTAAGTATATCGCATTAAATCATCAACAGCAGACCAAAATGTGCCATAGGAAGGAGAAAGGAACGTATTGCACACAAATTACATACACCTTTCAAATACAAACATATTTTACCTGTCAAAGGCTGACACTGTACTGATAGACAGCAACAAATACAACAAACTTTGAGCTGGGTATGCTAGTGTCTTATACTGCTCGAGCAGGTTAGAAACTGTGGAAAGCTGATTTCCTGCCAAAATGTAGATAACAATGATGTTCCATATGGCATACCCAGCAAGGAAGCCATGTGCAAAGAGTCCCATCACCCTGAATGGAGAAAAAAACATCAGACAGTTTGACACTTTGAATTACCAAAGAACTAGACAGAAAAGGCCTATGAATTCATCTGTTCAACCCCTGTGACAGGATCTGTGTCTTTCACAGATTGTTTCCGAGTGCTTTTTCTGATGTAGTTGTAAAAATTCTAAGCAACAGGACTTCTGCTTCCTCCTTTGACAGACTGCACCAGAACTTAAGCATTTAAAAAAGACGACTGAGATGTTTTGCCTGATCCTATCACTACTTCACTTCATCACTGCTACAGGAATCAAATACTTCCACTCGCTGCCTGTAGCTTCCCAAGACCAGTGCCCCTTACACTTAGGCAATGCTCTTAAACTTATCAGTCTTATCAGAGTCAGTCTTTTCATTATCCTCCTTGCTAAGAAAAAGCTGAGAAAGCAGCACAAGCTTCCAGACAGAATACACCAGGGAAGAAAATGACTGTCATCTTCCCATTCTGTATCACAACACAACCACATGCTAAAAAAAATACGTAATTTTTTGCTATTATGTGCAAACTTACACCCTAGTCCAACTTCACTTCTCCCTCTTCTTCACCAGCCAGGGTTTTTCTTTGAGCAGTTCAGGAATTTTTATTCTGGTCAGATAGCTGATGGGCAAATCTCATTTTAAGAGATTTTAAAAGGCAGTTTTTCTGTAAGTCTCTAGTAGTTTGGTTATCAGATCAATCTCTTGCTATTCAGATTTTGTCTGAATCTTTGCAATATGACTTCCTTAGTTACTCTTTTTATAAGTTGCATTTCACATGTGGTATCTATAGACTAGAAATAGATATTCTTGATAATAAATACCAAAAGCTAAAGGACTGAGAAACTTTATACCTGTTGCATCCTGAACCACCATTTATTAGGAATATAAAAAAAAAAATAGATACATCACAATGACAGAGAAAAGGTGCTAACTTGTAGGGAGAAAGAAAAAAACCAACACGATTTCTGCTTATTTACATTAAAACATTTGTCTTTCACCTGAAACTTCGGTGCACTGAGAGGGCAACATCTCTGGTAGTCCATGAAGCCTTCACATCCATAAGTACATTGATATTTTCAGTGGTTTTAATCAATTCTGCACGGTCAGCTGCCTGAAAACGCCCTGAAAGGATGAGGAAATTAGAGAATACTGTTACCTTCCATCATAATTTCTATATGAATACTTTTTAGTGTTAAAAAGCCGTAACTGCCACAAGTTCCATCTGAAAATTTTTTCTCCCCGCTTCCTGCCCTTTGTCAGCTTACATTCATACCAAGATGCCTCTGTCAGTGTGATGCACCCTGGGGGGGTCACGCTATGGATTTAAGAATGTGCGAAGCACTTTGGGTAATTACTCAGTGCTCCCTGGTATAAAAAAAAACCAAAACCAAAAACCTTCCACTTGAAAAATTTTTGCAATATGGTAAATGATACTTTCTTCTCAAGGTACTGTGACAATATTAGGTCAAATAAGCTCAGCTGGGTACTATCAAACAGCCTTTTTCACCTACACCACAGAATTAAAAAATTCATCCAAACATGCCAGTACAGCAACACTAACATTCACTGTTGAAAAATTATCATGTATAATTATTTCCAAATAATTTTTGTTCTGGAAATTTTTAAAAAATTTCTTCCCAATACAGCAATATTTGGATTTTAAATACAATAATGCTTCCTTTAATTGCAAACAATGTCCTTAAATTATTTAAATCATAAAATGTACTTACGATTTTTTTCAACAAACACTTTGCTAACAGGCTGGCTAATTCCAGTAGGAGCAGCAAACACAGGCTGCTGATCTGAGCTTTTTCTGTGCTCATCTTCAATGATGTCTTCCTCCTCCACTTCCAGCTCACTGGAACACTGTATTTCAGCGGGCCGAGGTTTTCTATCAGCACAGAACACACAATGGGGCAGAGAAAGAACAGAAAGTAAAATTTAAAACCTGAAGTCTCCTATGAACATTTAACATGTCTAACTTGACTGATAAGAATCAATCAGGCTACTGACCTGTATAGTATTACCCCCGTTTATAATTTTAACAACTAATGTTCTCATGGAGTTAGTTAATTAAAACCGTAAAGATAATTCTTGATTTTGGGTTTTTTCTCTCTATTTAAATTCCTTCCTGTGTCAAAACAGTAAGGTGGGAAGAAATACGTATCAAGAGATTAACAATTAGGAAAAAACCCAACAAACTAAATGCAAGGCCAAGAAAGTAGATGCTTTTGGTAGAAAGGCAACTAAAATGATTTAAAGGCATAGTTCTTGGAGAAAAGGCAAATAAAAAGGATAAGAAAGCAGTTAAGTTTCTCATAAAATTAAGAAAAAGATAGTAAGAATGAAAGAAGCAGTTACACATTCTAATTTTTTCATGTATGTGACTGAAATATTAGGCTCATGTGAATGTATTCAGAACTGTAATGCATCCAGGAATGCATAAAACAAACAAGTGAAGAAACTTAGATCTTAACCCTGGAAAGAACTGCACACATACTATTTATTGCACAGGCTGAATTGTATCATGGGCTTCAAGATTTTACATCTTTGTAGTGTGAAAATGTAAAATACTACTCAGTCATTTCACTATCACAGTTACTCAGAATTAGGAGCTATAATAGTTTTGTCTCACTTTGTTCTTTTTCTCTGTTTGCGGATCACTGTTTCTTCAACTTCAGGAACATCCATGCCATTTCCATTCTGAAATAGGGATGCAGCATTTTGCTGGGTAAAAGATGTCTCAGAATCTGAAGATTTAAAATAAACCACATGAAAGTTTCACAATTTTCATAAAAATGGAAATACATTCACTTAAATACACAAATAGTTATTATATAAACACACTGACAAAAAAAGCAATGCTTTTCTGAGCTTTGAATGATACAAAGCATCTATTTTATCACTTTCAAAACTGTATTGCTGTTATTTGCATGAGGGTTTGTACTCTATGGAATCAGAAATCAGAAACTGAAACTCTAAGCTACCATTCACTCAGAGATTACTTTCAGTTATTGTAAGTACAAAAGCATATGATTTCAAATGTTAAAGGCCAAAATACAATCGTATTTCCGTGTTACCAAGTTTTACTCTGCTCTTTCCAATCTACAATTATTTCACATACCAGTAGCTACTTTCTTCTTCTTGCGTTTCCTCTGAGGAGGGACATCATGAGGTTCAAGAGTTAGAGGCTCACTGCTTTCAGACTGCCGACGAACAGCTGCTTGGACAATGCCATCTGAAAACCAGATTAAAAGATCCAGCAACCTTAATTCAGAGCCGCTGAGAAACAGGCAAGAAAAAGCTGCCATTTGCTACATAGTGCAGAATATCTGTATTTGCCCAGCTTACAGCTGAGATGAAAACATAGTGCCTAGAAAATGTAAGAGTTGGGAAACAAATGTGATAAGTAAGAATATACAAGGTGATAACTGAAAACCCTCCTTTCACCCTGACAGTTGCAGGCCCAGGAGGAACTTAAGTATTCAGGAAGTAGCGCAATTCCCATTTGGGCATACAACAGAGGACTGATTGAAAGGAATCTACCACAGGAAAGAACTCCATAGCTCTAGATTTTTCCTTTCTACACACAAATATTATAGTTCAAAGGGACAAGAAAAATTAACAGTTTATTACAAGTTTATTCACACAGATATGTGTTAAGGCAAAATAGTGTCATATCAAAGAGAAATTTAAATGCTAAACATAAACATATACAAGAATAAAGGAGGAGCAGAAAAACCCCAACACTGAAGGATGTTTACTCCAGTCTGAGAGATTAATTACTATGGTTTGGAGGACCTACATTTCTGTGAGAGGTTAACATGAATTCATCAAATATTCTAGCAGCAGTAGCATCAATTTGCATGATTAGAAGTAGACAAAGTTACTTCTCCGTTTTATATCACATTTGCCTTTTTATAGCTCTTTCAAGTACTGCAGTTTTTATGATAACAACTGAATCTATCTTTGTTTTCACTTCAAGGACAGGTTTTTCCACCTTTTATAAAGCTTTTCTGTGATAAAATGCAAAGTTAACCAGCAAAGCAGTGGCCAAAGCCGAGGTGTACTTTGCACCATCATTCAGCTCACTGAAAACAACAGTTAACAAAACTTGATCTTTCGGAAACCCTGCTAGCAACAGCTCTACTTAAAAAAGTCTTTCAGTGAGGCCTCAATTTCTACCCTCTTTTAAGCAAATAAAGCAGGTTTAGTCATCCAACCTTCATATGGACCCAAGTCAACTGGTTTACAGAAATCCACTAGATTTGATCGACACATTCTGCTTTATCAAAATAGATCAGACTTGTAATCTTGCTTAAAATGGTATGTTTATTCTGCAGATCCACTTCTTGTAAAAATACAAAGCTCTGGTGCTAGTCATATTTTAGGCTCCTAATGGAGTGATTAACTTGTGACTTTATTTGGCCAAGGACAAATTGAGCCAATTGTTGAGCCAATTTGTTAAATGAGTTTTATCTTGGCTCATTCAAAAATTCAAGCACTTAACACAGTCAACATTAACAAGCAGCTTACAGCTGAAAAGGACTATTTAATGAAGTATCAAAAAATTTTTGAAGGGAAAAAGTAACAGGAATAAAGGAACTTTTTCAGTTCAGTATCAAGACATGCTGTATTAGCAGTACCAGGAATAGATGTAGGGAGAAAGAGCAGAGGATGGAACAAATCACTTCAGTTAGCATTACAGACTTGTTCTAAAATGACACCACTTTGGGGAAAAAGACTGCAGTCATTCAATCTAAAATCAATTGCAATAATTAGCTGAAAACACTACACAAAATATATTCAGAAATAGAAAGAGAGTACAGAAATCAGTACTCTATTTCTACACAGAAACAGAATACAAGACTGAAAACCATATATCTGTCAGGAGCTTGGCGACAGTGCAGGTCTCACCCAGGATTACACACACAGTTTTCAGTCTTGGCAGGACCTTACCTAATGGAGTCTTTCCTCTGGGTTTCCTTTTTTTGGGACGACTAAGTGGAATTTCATCTGCAGAACACAGAAGCATAGGTACACAGCATGTAGAAACCCCCATTTCCTTTTTTTTAAACAGCCATTCTATTGCTAGTTAAGAAAGGGATTCCTTTTTACAAGTGAAGGCATCTTTCACCTTTTACAGGTAAGATGACAATTCACCAGTTCACACAAAGCAACAGGAGTACAGAAGATGGCAGGATAACAGGTAAGAAGTCTGTCTTAAGTGCAACAGAGGCTAAATATGCACGTGCATCTGTGTTAAGTGAAGAACTGAAATACTCTGAATAATGCTCTGAAGAATAAACTTCTTGTTTAGAGCACAGTGCCAACATTTCAGTTACCTTGATTCAGTATGGAAATAGCAAACAGTAAAGAGAACAAAAAACAGCAGACAGTTCTAGCAATAGCCGTGCAGGTATCTACACAGTGTAAATAGTTGGCCTGCATTTAGGAAAAGTATAAGGCTCTATCTTTAAAGAGAGGATGAAGTGACACCAACAGAAACTACCAATGTTTATAATTCTCTTTAATGTCAGAATAACTCACCTTGGTTTCCACTTCACATTTAAGGAAAAAAGGTGTTGAAGAGCAGTGTAAAAGGAACAAAGATGAGAAGAAAGTTAGTTTTGAATCAGTTACAATTCACAACAGTGAAATTCACACTGTTGCTTTTGTGATTCATTTCCTTATCTCCACTCCTAGTTCTCTTTATGAGCAGTTGTGTACAACAGGGTTAAGGATACAAAGCAATTGTCAAGACTCAACATTTTGTTCACGACTATACAGAATTTCTTGATTGGCTAGCTGTGGATCAGATTAAAAGCTTTAATCACATGGCTAATTAAAACTTGTCTCACTGCCTGATATATAACAAACCAAGAAAAGTTATGAAACATTTGAGCACATACATTACTAAAAAAGACATTATCTTTATATGTTGTTAATTCTGAAGATCACATTTTCTTTCAGGTATTTTGAAGGAATTCTGAAGTACCACCTCATAAAAACTAGATAATTGCCTTTCCTCCCACACTGAGAATTTCAAAAAGCCCAAATTTTTCTCTATACTGTGTCTACACATATAGTATACATATACTAGTAGACACCTATACCTCTATTCAGCAATATTTAGACTAATTTCAGCAATTCCTGTTCTGAAACAAAACAAAGAGGAAAGGAAGCAGAGACTGAAAAGAAGGATATTAATAAAACTAAAGCAGATGTTAATGACACTGAAGTAGCTATTTGTCTGGAACTTTTTAAAGGGTTTATCTCTGAGAGTATTAAAACTGAGGTAATACAGTAAAATTTCTTGGCCTCTATTAAACTTTAAAATGCTCTGTATTCCTTGTAAGGGGTTCTGAAACAATTATCAAGAAAAGCAATTGTTTTTAAAACCATTACAACTACTCAGATGTTTATTAAACTTATTTCTCTTAATTTAAGTACTTTTAAAAACACTACAGTACAGCACCATGTTCAATTCCACAGAATGAACTGATCTTACCTTGGCACTGGAGGGAGGGCACGAGGTGGGCACTGAAAGACAAGACAGGGACAAAAGTCAACTTCTGTCAGTGTGAAAGCACCTTTTGGAAAACAGAGCTAATTCCAGATATGGTCAGAATACACTAAGTATGCTTTGCTTTGCATGCCTCTTAAAGAGCTAGAGGCTGCTGATGGACATGTTACATAAAAGTAATATATAATACGTAAAAGCAGGAATAACATGCTTTTACCAGAGTTCTGATGGGCACTGCATTAGGGACATGTAGCTAACAGCTGTGTGTGGGGCACAGCTTGCACTTCAACTTCACTTGAATATTTTCACTTTTAATGTAAGGTACTGCTTTCATTGGAAAGCTTATCAGTTGTTCTATCTAAATATCAAAATACTGCAGTAGTTTATGCATTCAATATACTTGCACAGTACACAGTGCAAGCTGAGTTTTTTCTATTAACAAAGTTGTAAATTCAGAACAACAGTAAAAACAATAAAAGGAAATAAGCTTATTTATGAAAAAGACTTTTAAATATGATAAAAATTAATTTTAATATAATTTTGAAAATATGTACTAGCAGGTCAAGCACAACTAACATCTAAAAATAAGTATCTCCTGTTAACAATCTGAAACTGAGCTCTTGCACTTCTCTCATCTAGAAAAGGCAAGTTTACTTTTCGGTTTTGTATTATATAATCATATCAAAAGAGTATACATGAATAAATACTTCCCATGCTCCAAAATTCAGTTAATATCAGAAATAAAAAAGGCTGTAACACTGGTAAGACTCAAGGATCCACAAACTTACCACTTGTTTCTTTCCCATATAATTTGAAGCTGTTCCCTGAAAGAGGCACTGTGAACCGTTTTCCACTCCCTCACGCTGTTCATGCTGAACCTCAGCTAATTCTGAACTAAAAATAAGCTTCTAGCAGCCAGGATTAGCTGGACATGAACCTTTCTGCCCCTGGGATAGAGACCAGTACTACTCCCATTTGAAACAACAGCAGTTTGTTCTGTGGCAGCGAGATTGTGCCTTAAACATTACTTGTACTGAAAAACGTGTAATTCCATGTGCTGGTACCTGTTCCAGAGAACAAGTTTTACTTCGGTTTGTTTACTCAACAGAAATGAGACACCTGGTGCAAGGAAAGGAGGGTTTGCAGGATTAGGCCTCAAATCTCTCACCTGGATTTTGGCCACGCTTAAGACTGACAGCAAGTCCCATTAACACAGGTAGAGAGCGGCACACCCTGAGTGGCCTCCAGCAAACTGGCCGCACCGTACAGGTGTGCCATTAGGGAGAAAAAATATTGATATAGGTCAGAGCTCAGAACTGCTGTTGTTTGCTACATTTGTGTGGCAGTAGTTATTACATGTTTAACATAGTTGATATTTTAAAAAAATAAAATCTAACCCCCCCAAAAAACTTAAAAAAAAAAAAAATCCTTTTATACAGCATTCACTGTCTCTGCAGTACTATGCCTGTGTTCTGTAGTACCTCTCTATTTTGTTACCTTCCACGAAACAACTGAAAAGAACTCTCCCTCGAGGGAAAAAACAAACTACAGAACCCCTGGGTGTCTAGTCAGGGATGCAGAGCAGAAAACGCCTTTGCTCGTATGAAATTGGACCAAGCAGCTGTATTTATTCCCCCATATGGTGAGCTGGGCGGCCACCACCAGACCTCGGAGGTGGTACCAGCGAGGCAGTTACGCATTAAGTCGAAGGTTTAAAAAAAAACTTAACTGGTATTTACAGATTTAAAGCTTTACATAATTTTTCTGAGATTATATATATGGATGAAAATATGAAAACGATGACGAAATACTTGCTTGCGTCCTCAGCAAAGGATGCGCAGCAACGTGCGACCCTGCGGCCGGTTACATCCCACTGCCAGCGGCT